AAAAACAAATTATCCGCCCAGAGCGCCTTTTTAGTATCAAATGATGTGATTCAAATTATTTTACAATTTTTTTAGTTGTTCCGATTAGTATCAAATGATGTGATTCAAATTATTTTACAATTTTTTTAGTTGTTCCGAACTTCACGGACATTATATACCAAACCGTAAGTCTCAAGATCTAATATTATACTATGATTCCTAGGATAGCTAGGTATTAATAAATAGTCAATCATTATTATTATTATTGTTATTATTATTATTATTATTATTATTATTATTATTATTATTATTATTATTATTATTATTATTATTACTATTATTATTATTATTATTTATACATAATAATAGTTTTATATATGTATTTTTTTATATTAATAAATAGTCAATCATTATTATTATTATTGTTATTATTATTATTATTATTATTATTATTACTATTATTATTATTATTATTTATACATAATAATAGTTTTATATACTTTAAAATGGTAATATTATTATTCTTATTATTATTACTATTATTATTATTATTATTATTATTATTAATATTTACTATTACAGTTAGTTACAGGCAATATTATGTTATTTTTAATTTCAGTTATTCTACTCACATGCGAAACGTCAGACGATCATTAACATTGTCCTTGGCCTCCTGGCGGTAATTTGCCTTACGTTGGCTTTGATAGGTCTTGCAGCATCCGGGTAAGTTTACATTTATCATCATAATTTCCATCCATTATTTTCATAGTTTTACAAGAGTACACACACACATACGTTTTAGAGGGAGGGGTTAACTGTGTAGGGCAATGTACTTCTTTATAATCAAAATACAAAATGTGCAAACAATAAATTTTTTTAAAATAATTAAATTTAAATTTATATGAAAATATGTTTTCTGAATCCTGAAACCAATCCTATAGGTAGAAGCTATCAAACTGATTGCAATGAATAACCATGAATAAACTAATTTAAATCAAAGCTTTCTGATGTCTCTCGTGGGCGTATTAGACAAATCTTTTCCGCTCTCAAATTGATGAATATAAAACATTTCATGATTACTAATAATTGTTTCAACTTGATATGCCTGACTACACAAGACAAAACCAATACAATTAAATAAATCTGGAACTGCGTTTTGATTCACCTCGAATTGTTTTGGTTGGTTGGCGCAAGATTAAATGTTGGTTGACGCAACAGTTGTGGCTAGGAATTTCAACCTTGAGGTCGGGGGTTCGAAGCCCTCACTGTGCAAGTCGCCTGTGTCCTTAGGAAAGACACTTTATCTAGGTTTGTCTCTCTCCACGCAGGAGTATAAATGTGTAACATATACTGGGAAGGTAAAACAGACTGTTGTGCGGGAGGAGTGGCGAAC